TCAGGGCCAAAGTCTTCATCCATACAGGATGAAGCACTGTCTAGTGAACCGTGAACTCCATAGTATGACCAGGAACTCATTCTACTTTCATTTAAGAGTTACTTATCTTTCTTTTGCGTGTGAACATTCGCCTACACTCTTTTTTTTTTTAAATATTTATTTATTTATTATGTATACAATATTCTGTCTGTGTGTGTTCCTGCAGGCCAGGAGAGGGCACCAGACCTCATTACAGATGGTTGTGAGCCACCATGTGGTTGCTGGGAATTGAACTCAGGACCTTTGGAAGAGCAGGCAATGCTCTTAACCACTGAGCCATCTCTCCAGCCCTCGCCTACACTCTTGCACTGTATCATGCAGTGCTCTCGGGCGCCGGATGAAGACATCCGATCCCCTGGAACTGTAGTTATAGACATCCGCGAGCCTCTCCTCCTTCTTACCTAAATAAAAAGGAAGGGTTTTAACTTTAACATTAGTAAAACACTATACAGTAAGAACAGTTATCAAGCCGGGCGGTGGTGGCGCACGCCTTTAATCCCAGCACTTGGGAGGCAGAGGCAGGCGGATCTCTGTGAGTTCGAGACTAGCCTGGTCTACAAGAGCTAGTTCCAGGACAGGCTCCAAAACTACAGAGAAACCCTGTCTCGAAAAACCAAAAAAAAAAAAAAAAAGAAAGAAAGAAAAAAAGAACAGTTATCAAGTAAGAATTACATTTACAGGCTGGAGAGATGGCTCAGAGGTTAAGAGCACTGGCCGCTCTTCCAGAGGACCTGAGTTTGATTCCCAGTAACCGCATGGTGACTCACAACCATTTGTAGTGAGATCTGGTACCCTCTTCTGGCCTGCAAGGATACATACAAGCAGAATATTATGTGCATAATAATAAAAAATTTTGCCGGGTGGTGGTGGCGCACGCCTTTAATCCCAGCACTTGGGAGGCAGAGGCAGGCGGATCTTTGTGAGTTCGAGACCAGCCTGGTCTACAAGAGCTAGTTCCAGGACAGGCTCCAAAACCACAGAGAAACCCTGTCTCGAAAAACAAAAAAAAAATAAAATAAAAAATAAATAAATAATAAATTTTAAAAAGGTGTAGAAACATCTATATGGTAATACAAAAATAACTTTTAATTGTATCAATATACCAAAATCCATACAAATGTAAACTATTGAGGTTAATAGATGCTTTTTTATCCTATATACCTATGTCCTTTTTATCCTTTATACCTATGTCCTTTTTATCCTATATACCTATGTCCCCATAACAATGACAAACATTCATAATCAGCCAAATGACCAAAACCCACCTACCCCACCTCTTGGGAATGTAGGTGTCATGTTCTCTAGACTGCTTTCTGTTGTCTGGGGGCTATGTTATCTCCAGGGAACCCCAAGGAAATTGAGATTAATGGTCAAATTCTTGGAAAAGAAAACTAGTTGTAACATTTGTTGTCCAGTCTCAGAGTTGTCCCCATGCAGAGGGATCGGCATACATGTCTTCTGTGTTGTGGTTTTTCTTGGCTTATGTCTGTAGGCAGGATTTCCAGGAGGTCTCTTCCAATCAAGCCTGATCACCTTGAAAGAATCCACAGCTTTTCATTTCCTGTGGAAACAAAAGCATAGCCTCTCCCCCAACACAATACATTCTCTGAATTCCATTTTAAAGTGAAGGCAGCATCCCTAGAGTATCCAGGCCGGTAATTCAGCAGTCCCTGTAACAATCCCATGTCTCCCAGCAGCTGTCATTCAAAAAAAACTCAACACAACACCAAACAGGATGCCTGAGTGTTTCCCATCTTTACGTGTGCTTTTTTTATGTTATCTTACTCTCTCTTTAAAGACTTTATTATTTTTAAACTATTTTTCCTATGTCTTTCTTTCCCTGCACATCTTTATGCACACTGTAACCTATCCAGAGGCTTCTCTCATCTGGACCTGTCTTTACTCCTTGTCTCTAGCCTTTTCTGGCCGCGTGAGCCATACCTAAACGCAAAGTGACTGCACTGGCGGATGGGTCTGCCCTGCTTGGGTCTGTTAGAGCTGAGCCTTAAGCCTGTTTAAATGTTTAACTGAGAGCTGCATTCAACCGCCGCAGCTCTTGGAAGCTGGTGCCTGCACTGTGGCAGGCATTTTTACATAACTTATTTTCTCTACTTAATGTGCTGGCTAGTTGTGCTCGCTGTACGTCAGAACCTCTTTTTCTCGGGAGGGGGAGGCAGGGAGTGGACACTTTTTGAGACAGGATTTCTCCGTGTAACAGGCTGTTGTCCTGAAACACGTCTTTACAAAATTAAACAAAGGCAGCTTAAACAAATGTAACACACCTTTACATAGTTAAAGTAATATTCCACAACAAGCCTCCTTTCGGGTACTGAAAATTGAACCCAGGTCCTCTGCTAAAGTAGCCAGTGCTCTTAACCCCCACGCTAACTCTCCAGCTCCTTGTCTAATGGTTTCTAATAAAAAACACACATACACACACACACATACACACACATACACATGTACACACACACACACACACGTGTGTGTCTGGATGTTTTGCCTGTGTGTGCACCATATGTATGCCTGGTACCCGTGGAAGTCAGAAGTGAAAGATGATGTCAGGTTTCCTGGAACTGGGATTGTGGATGGCTGGAGCCACCATGTGAATGCCGGGACCTCTGAGCCGTCTCTCCAGCCCTCAATTCATTCTAATGAGTTGAAGCTAATGAAGACACCTACAGCTGACTGTGTCCCAAGGTAGTTCCCAGAGGGGCTGCTTTCTTTTTCTTTTCCAAAAGCTGAAAGCCACAGTTGGAAGCTGTAGCTTGCCAAAAATGACGAGGCCCCAAATTAAACCCCCAGAACTACTTCTCCACTTAGAACAGTGGTTCTCAATCTGTGGTTCGTGACCCCTTTGGGGTTTAAATATCAGATATCCTCACATATTGGATATTTACATTATGATTCATAACAGCAAAATTATGAAGTAGCAATGAAATAATTTTATGGTTGGGGTCACCACAATATGCAGAACTGTATTAAAAGATTGCAGTGTTAGGAAGGGCAAGAGCCACTGCTTTAGAACGAGGAACAGCAAGCTGGGCAGTGGTGGCCATGCCTTTAATTCCAGTACTAAAGAGGTGGAGGCAGGGGGATCTCTGTGAGTTCAAGGCCAGCCTGTTCTACAGAATGAGTTCCAGAACAGCCAAGGCTACACAGAGAAATGCTGTCTTCCTGGAACTAGCTCTGTAGTGCTGGGAATAAAGGCTTGTGCCACCACCACCCGGCGAGAAACCCTGTCTTGAAAAGAAACAAACAAAACAAAAACTAAAAAGAAAGGAAAGAGAAAAAGGTGTGATGATGTTTCTTTCTGTGGTGAAGGAGCTTGCCTCCAAAGCAGGTGATCTGCGCTAATGCCGTGAAACTACATGGTAGAAGAAGACTCCTACAAACTGTCCTCTGACTTCTACATGTGCATCATGACATGCAAATGTGCGCGCGCGCGCACACACACACACACGAGTAGACAAATGGAATTGAAAAAAAAGAAAAAGATAGTAAACTAGTCGGGCGGTAGTAGTGACACTTTTATTCCAGCACTCGGGAGACAGACAGGCGGATCTCTGTGAGTTTGAGGCCAGCCTGGTCTACAGAGTGAATTTCAGGCCAGCCAGGGCTACACAGAGAAACCCTGTCTCAAAAAAACAAAGTAGGGGGGCTGGAGATATGGCTCAGTGGTTAAGAGCACTGACTGCTCTTCCAGAGGACCCGGGTTCAATTCCCAGCACCCACATGGCAGCTCACAACTGTCTGAAGATCCAGTTGAAGGGGATCTGACACCTTCACACCAATGCACATAAAATAAAGTTAAATAAAGCATAAAAATATTTTTAAAAAAAAGTTTAAAAAAAAAAAAACAAAGTAGGGGCGGGCTGGAGCAATGACTCAGAGGTTAAGAGCACTGGCTGCTCTTCCAGAGATCCTGAGTTCAGTTTCCAGCAACCACATGGTGGCTCACAACCATCTGTAATGAGACCTGGTGCCCTCTTCTGGCCTGCAGGCATACATGGAAGGAATGCTGCATACATAATAAATAAATAAATCTTAAAAAGAAAGAAAAGAAAAAAGAGCAGGTGTGGCAGTATACTGTAAACCCAGCACTCTGAGCAGGGGCAGTAAACCCAAGCCTATGTATAATAAGTTTGAAGCAGTCTGGGGATGAGAGACACTGTGTGGGCAGAGAATAAACGAGAGTGAGTGAGTGTGTCCTAGGTGAATCCCAATAGAGCGCCTGCCTGCCTGCCTTCTTTTCTCTATCAATACCGGCTTTCTCTGGGTAGCCCTGGATGCTCTGAGACTGGCTCTGTAGACCAGGCTGACCTTGAACTCAGAGACTCACCTAACTCTGCCTCCCAAGTGCTGGGATTAAGGCATTGTGACACTACCGCTTGGTCAACACAATTTTTTCCTTTTCTTTTTTTCTTTCTCTTATTTTCTTTCGCTTTGAGACAGGATTTCACTATGCAGCCCTGGCTGGCAAGGGCTGCCTCAAACTCCTGCATCCGCTTCTGCACTGCTGAGACTAAAGGCCCAGCTAGGGGTAGAATCCCAGCCTAGCATGCAGGAGGCTCGAAATTCAGTTCCCAAGACCACCAACAGAAAGAAAGAAGGCACACAGTCACATGTGTATCAGCCAGTGTAGCTTTGAGAACTCGGGCTGACTTCCCATGCTTCTGTACCTGACCTGAATACACACCCTTCCGTGCCCCTCAGCACACCCTCCTGCAGGCTCTTCCTTCTCCCCTGCAGATCTGTGTAGCCCCTGCTCCCCTCCAGGCTTCTCTCACCTGAGGTCTCTCCCCTCACCTGAGTCTCTCCCCTGCAGATCTGTGTAGCCCCTGCTGCCCTCCAGGCTTCTCTCACCTGAGGTCTCTCCCCTGCAGATCTGTGTAGCCCCTGCTCCCCTCCAGGCTTCTCACCTGAGGTCTCTCCCCTCACCTGAGGTCTCTCCCTTGCAGAAATGCATTAGCAGAGGGGAACTCCAGGTGTCTTTGTCGTACCAGCCCGTGGCACAGAGGATGACAGTGGTGGTCCTCAAAGCCAGACACTTGCCGAAGATGGACATCACCGGTCTCTCAGGTAGCAGCTATTTACTTCAACCCTACCCCACCCTACCGTGGCCCTGGCGTACTCCAGCATGTCCAGACCCACCCAGTCTTCTGTCTACTTTCCCTCCCCATGACTAGGCCAATAGACTTCCCCAGCCACTGTGGTGCTGGGGGTGAGCCAACAAGGGTATTCTAAATCCCGTGCATGCTGCAGCACTTACACCAGGTGAGACTTGTGAGAAAGACTGCCAATATCTGTCCCCATCCCCTTGATTTCTTCAGACCTGTATATGGTCTACTCCACATCTGCTTGGTTTCCCCAGCCCTGACCGAAGCAGCTAGACTCATGTGTACGCATGTCAGGTGCAGCCACTGATGCCCTGATGGTCAGCAAAGATACGGATGACAGAGTGTCCTCCTCTAAATTCGTGGGTCCTCATGTTAGGGTGATCCCCAGCCATGCAAGTATTCCATGGCTGCTTCATAACTGTGGCTTTGCTGCTGTTATGAATCATTATGTAAATACTGATGGGACCCCAGTAGGGTCGACATGCAGCAGAGGACTGTGTCATAGGCCTGTCTCTCTTTTTCTTCTCTTTGGTGGCCCCAGATCCTTATGTCAAGGTGAACGTCTACTACGGCAGAAAGCGCATTGCCAAGAAGAAAACGCATGTCAAGAAGTGCACTTTGAACCCGGTCTTCAATGAGTCCTTCATCTATGACATCCCCACTGACCTCCTGCCTGAGATCAGCATTGAGTTCCTTGTCATTGACTTCGATCGCACTACTAAGAATGAGGTGGTGGGGAGGCTGATCCTGGGGGCACACAGTGTCACAGCCAGTGGTGCGGAACACTGGAGAGAGGTCTGTGAGAGTCCCCGCAAGCCCATAGCCAAGTGGCACAGTCTGAGCGAGTACTAGTTCCTTCTCGCCTCCGACCCTGGGGCCAGGCTGGGGAGGCACACGGCGGGGAGAGATGACAGAGAAGCTGACTCAAAACCTCATTTTAGTCGTAGAAGAAAATTTCTTACAAGACAAACCACACAAAGAGCATCTTACTGCACACCACTGCAGGTCGGTTCTTAGCGTGAGAAGTCTTTTCTTCTTTGCAAGGCACTAGACGATCTTTTGTTTTTAAAATGGGGGGGGAGAGAAGGAAAGACCCCACAGTCTATATATAACAATGTAACCTTATACTTGCATGTCTAATACAAACAAGAAATTAGCCTAACCGATATCAAGTTGCAGATTTTAATCCATGAAAATTGTGTTTTGTGCCGAACTGTATTTGCTGATCTCCTGAAATTGGCCTCCTTTTTATCAGGCTTCTCTGGGTTATTCCCGTTTCCCATCATAGCAGAAGAAAAGTCTACTCTTGTAAAACCCCATGTTCCCGTCATTCCATCCTTTCTTCTATCACCTCTCAGGTCTCCACTCTTTGGCCGAGTTTCAAGTCCAGAGTCTGGAGTAAGCAGAGGAACAAGTGGGGTTTGCAGGAGAAAGAGTGATTGAGAATGGGATCTCTGCTGTTAGCCACTTACCATAAAGGAGTAACAGGCAGTCCGTGACTAGTGACAGGTAGCATGGCGGGCAGCGTGGCGGGCTTGGGAGGCGGAACCGGACTTAGGACTTGCCGATTTCTCTGGAAGCTTTGGAGACTTCAGCTTCGGCCCGAGGGAAGTACCATTGAATACCAGCTGATCCCGAGTGCTACTTGCAGGTCAGGGGACAGGGGAAGGAGATAAAATATCCCTGCAGAAGCTCTGGCATCCCCTCATGCTGTAGATGCTGATGGAAGTTGCTTTCTGTTTGATAAGGAAGCAGGCCTCAGGACTTTCTCTCTGAGGTTTACAGAAATGGTTCTTAAGAAAGCTGAGTGGGGCTGAATAGTGAGCTAATGTAGATGCCTTCAAGGCCCCCACTCTCCTCAGCACAAGCACAAGGCTGGAGAGCTGAGAGTCACACCCCACGGTGAAGTCCATCGCCTTTCTGCCCCTGGGCAGGACAGTGCAGAGCCTGGGCATCTGGAGCTCAGATCCAAGTCTCTGCGTGGGACTCAGGAGTGAAATAAGACACAGCTTGATCCGGGGCCTGGAAGATTATCTGTAACTGAAGTGCCCACTTCCCTATAGGACCACTCTCCAGCTTGCTTCTGAGAACAGGTGGACTGACCAGCTTGGTTTCCATGGCGAGGGTGGTGACGCTGCCTTTGGTGTTCCCTTAGTGCTTGTAGATTTGAATCCACTCTGCCCTCCCCACTCACCCTTTCATTTTTTGTTTTGTTTGTCTGCTTTGCTTTTCCCCTGCGGGATTCTTGGCAATGCAGAGCGGCCCTGTGTAGGCAGGGAGACCCACTTTGCCCTTGCCCTTCTCCGCCATTGTGATCTGACTTAGTGTCTGGCCATCAGCTGGGATCACACCACTACAGTCTCCGCCCTTTAACCCATGGAATGTAAATACTGTATCATACGTAGGAGACAATACTTTTTGTTTTCTAAAAAGGCATTTTGACATAGTTTAACGAAAACCTGGCGGGAGCATTCTAAGCCCCATTAGGGAAAAAAGTCGAAATGATTCCTCTTCGTCGCCTTAATGTGTAAAGATCAGAAGTCGCTCAGCAGCTTTAGTTCCTTCCCTGAAGCAATGCTAAGTGACAGGTGGAGTCGTCTCCGACCTGCTGTGTGTGCCTCTGTAGCTCCTCCTGAGAAGTCGGGGAACAGCCTCACCCCTCCTCCCTTCCCCACTTCCCTGCAGCTCAATCCCTTCCCCAGGCTCGGGGCTGCCTCCGCGCAGGATCCCTCCTCCTACCTCAGGCCTGATCCAGCGTGTCCGAAAGCTTCTTAGTTGACTTGGGTTTCTTCACAGAGCTCGCTGACGTGGGCGGAGGCAGACTGCCCCTTCCGCTCAGTTGAGAGACAGACAAGAGAGTCACATCTTAGCTGTTTTGCACAAGGCACTTGTGGTTAGGAATAGGTTAGGGAAGGTCACTCCCAATTCCCAGCAGCCAGTCGATGTAGATTTCTCGACTCTTTGGTACTATGAGAATTATTCCCAATATCAAAAGTTCCCTTGTGAGTTCTTCCTTCTTTGCATTCTCAACAGCGCACAGCCGCGATCTGCAGTGCTGTGCTAGAGAGAACTGCTGTGTGGGACCAGGGTGACCTACCCAGGAGAGGGATATGGAAGACTTTCAGTACTGGTCATGACAGTGACATTACCCTCACCACCACAATCCCTCTCCAAACAGGTTGTCTTTCTTTACCTTGTGTCTTCTCTTGTAAAAATAAAACTCTAAATAAAAGTGTCAATTTAAAAAGAAAAAAAAAAAACCCAGAACAAGCTAACATGAACTGTGTGAACTGCATAACGCCGTGACGCTAACCTGCAGTCTGTAACGCTGTCGTCTATGTTGACTTGTTGATGCGCCACACGTGCAGAATAAAGACTGATTCACAGTAAACAGGCGCAGTGCTGAGTCTGCTTTTCTTAAGCTGGGGGACTGGAATTGATGACAGCACTCAGGCACCCAAAGGATGCCCTAGGCCAGCGATTCTCGCGTGACTGAGAAACCATTCCGCCACTCTAGCTACACAGGCCTGTAAAATAGGTGTGACTTGTAAAGCCACAGCCACCAGGAGAGAGAGCAAATTTTTTTTTGCTTGTTTTAGATTTATTTATTTTACGTGTAGGTGTGTTTGCCCACATGCATGTATGTGCGCTGTCTGCAGTATATGCTGGGAAGGTGTCAGTTCCTCCTAGAACTGGAGTTACAGGTGGGTGGTAAACTACCAAATGGGTGCTGGGAACCAAACCTAGTCCTCTGCAAGAGAAACGAGCACCCTTAACTTCTGAGCCATCTCTCCAGCCCCTGAGATGCTAAGTTTTAGTACTGATAACTAATCTGCCCCTTTAATGGAAGATATTTATTCCAAAATGAACCACTTCAGTGTCTTACTGAGCCTTGCCATAGCTCAGCAGAACCTGGCCTCTTTTCTGAATTAATTTCAGGAAACTGTACCTTTGCTTTTTCGTCTGTCTTTTTCCAGAGCTGGTGCCCGCCTTCCCTCGGGGCTTTCTCATTCCCTGAATTCCACTTCTCTTTGCCTCACTTGGCTGCTCACAAAAGGCATGGTCAAAGCCGGGCGATGGTGGCACACGCCTTTAATTCCAGCACTTGGGAGGCAGAGACAGGTGGATCTCTGTGAGTTCGAGACCAGCCTGGTCTACAGAGCTAGTTCCAGGACAGGCTCCAAAGCCACAGAGAAACCCTGTCTCGAAAAACAAAAAACAAAAAAACAAAAACAAAAAACAAACAAACAAACAAAAGGCATGGTCACCCCTCCTCCCAGCTAAATGGGTTGCAATTTTCTTACTCTGTTGATTTTCTCTTAAAACTCTATTGCTAACTGGGGGTGGAGAAGGCAATCTCCAATCAGCACCAGGGAATGCAAAAAATCCACGAAGGCAGCGAGGGCTAGACTTTTCTATCTGAGGGGAAAATAAAGGAACACACTTTCTGATGGGAACTTTCTCTTTTACTTCATCTTAAACAATCCTGTCTGCGCTTCTCTGTCTCCATGAAGTTACATTCTTTACATACAGCTACATGTCTCTCTTTACATACATACATCTCTCTCCTGCATGCCATACATCTCTACACACACATCCATCTTCACATCTTTCTTTTACACACATTTCTCTCTGCATCTCTTTTCTCTGCAGCTAGAGCTTCATCCTCCTCCACACAGCCACAACTGTGCAATTAATCTCCACAGCTCTCACCACACGGCACTCTACATGGCTCCCAGGCACAGCTCTCTCACCACACGGCACTCTACGTGGCTCCTAGGCACAGCTCCTCCACGTAGCAGCAGCTCTTCCACACAGCTTGCTCTCTCTCTCACACACACACACTTCTCTCTCACACACTCAACACACATGCACACACACTCACATGCATGCACACTCGCCCCTCTGCCCAGCTCTTTCCATAGCAGCCTTCCACATAGCTCTGCATCCCACTCCTCTCACAGCCAATCTCTGGACAATTATGTTGCATTTTCAGGCCCAACCCATCTCGTAACACAAGATAGGACACGCAGTTTTTCCCAGGCTGAGGCGGTCACCCTGACCATCCATTGAGTAATGTGGCTCTAAGCTGGCAAGGGTTCCAGACAGAGAATGACACTGGAATTCAAGACTTAACAATGGCAGTTAGTTAGCTGGACCCAGAGTGGTAGGAAGTACGTGCAGAAAGACCACCACTGCTGGGTGATGTCTGCCAAACTGCCTCAAGCCAGACCTCGTGTGTTTGTCTTTAGGGGCAACCAGATAGCTTTGAATTTGTTCTGAAGTCTAAAGTTAACTGTTATTGTGACTGAGAATACTGATACTTTCTTTTTTTTTTTTTTTTTTTTTTTTTTTTTTGGTTTTTCGAGACAGGGTTTCTCTGTGGTTTTGGAGCCTGTCCTGGAACTAGCTCTTGTAGACCAGGCTGGTCTCGAACTCACAGAGATCTGCCTGCCTCTGCCTCCTGAGTGCTGGGATTAAAGGCGTGCACCACCACTGCCCAGCTAATACTGTTACTTTCTTATGTCCATCTGAATAATGAAAAATATCATAGTATTTCTATTCATCAGAATTATGCATTTTAAGCAGAAATTACCTTCCTGACCATCCACAGTAATATATGTGCCCAATAGTCATGAGATAAACACACAAGCGTGGGAAATACCCATGGCTGTTATTAGGAAACGGATGAGGTGGCACAGGAGAGACATTCCAGACAAGAGCAACTGGTCACTTACAATCAGTGACCTTACCGCCGTACCAGGTGGGGCTCCCCCATCAGAGAGTCATTCATCCAGTAGGTCAACCTGCTGAACAGTAGTTGTCACCTGCTGTATATCCCCATGGCCCTCTGCAGAACTCTTTTTTTGTTTGTTTTTTTGGAGAAAGGATTCCTCTGTTAGCTTTGGCTGTCCTGGAACTTACTCTGTAGACCAGGCTGAACTCTAACTCTGCCTCCTGAGTGCTGAGATTAAAGTCATGTGCTACCACCTCTCGCCTTCTCCTAAACTCTTAATGAAATTGTCCCCCAGCCCCAAACTAAAACAACTAAAAAACTAACAAAAAAAAGAAAGAAATATTACAAGCACTATTGATGGTCAGTTCTGTTCACTCGTTCATTTTTTTCTTTTTTCGGCAGTGTTGGGAACCCTTGACTTCTTCTATCTCTGGCCCTAACACATGTTACCCACATGTCACTGGGGATAGGAGCCATTAATAGCAAGAATCCTATTTGGAGATAGTAGGCAGGATATAAGAATTAACCAAACATTACACTAATAAGTGCACACGGACCAAGCCCCAGGTGCTCTGAAGAAGCAGGAGCGAATAGTGCAATACTCTGGATGGAGATTACCGTGGAGAGCGGCTGTGGGCTTTTCTGCCTTCCCAAGTCAGTAGCATGGAATGATCCACCCTTTGTCCTTGGTTGTTTGACTTTTAGACTAGGGTGGCATCACCCTCAGTGCTCCTGCCTCCACTTCCCGACTGTGGGGTTTTCATGGGGATTTTCATGGTCCCTAGGGCTGTGTGAAACTGTGCCCATGAGGAAAGAGAAAGTACAGCAGCAGAAGCTGTTGGTTTTTATAGTTTTAAGACGGTCCACGTTGGTCTCTAGCTCACCGCAGTCCCCCATCTCAGCTTCCTGAATCTTGAAATGACAGTTGGGTAAAATCTACCTTTTCTCTCTCCCTCTTTTTTTTTTTTTTTTGGGTTTTTCTAGACAGGGTTTCTCTGTGGCTTTGGAGCCTGTCCTGGAGCTAGCTCTTGTAGACCAGGCTGGCCTCGAACTCACAGAGATCCGCCTGCCTCTGCCTCCCGAGTGCTGGGATTAAAGGCGTGCGCCACCACCGCGCCCGGCCCTTTTTTTTTTTTTTATGGGTTGCGCTGTGTAACTCTGGCTGTCCTGAAACTCACTGTGCAGAATAGACTGGCCTTAAATTCACAGAAATCCTCCTGCCTCTGCTGGAATTAAAAGTGTATGTCATGATGCCCAGCTAATTTTTTTTTTGTAAGGACTGGGTGTTGGGGTAGAAAGATGGCTTAGCATTTAAAAGCATTTATTGCTCCAGGTGGTGGTGGTGCACACCTTTAATTCCAGCACTTAGGAGGCAGAGGCAGGTGAATTTCTGTAAGTTCAAGGCCAGCCTGGTCTACACAGTGAGTTCTAGAACAGCTAGAGCTACAGAGAGAAATGCTGTATTGAAAAAAATAAAAGCACTTGTTGCTCTTACAGAAGATCTGGATTCAGTTCCCAGCACCCACGTGGTGGTTCACACCCATTGATAACCCAGTTTCAGGGGATCCAACATCTTCTTCTGAGCTCTATGGGTATCAGCATGCTCATGATACACAGATATACACACTTGGGATGCTGTGAGCTCTCAGCTGGCCTGGGCCACAGAATGAGAAATGAGACCCATCTCAACGAAGCCAACAACCATTCCAAGACTGCATCATGCTTTCTCCCAGGAAAAAAGGGAACATTATTCTCTGCATGAAGTAATAAGGGTGGCGGCGGGGCTGCGTCCCCAACACCCCAGCCGCCTGCCCGGCTAGCTTATGCCCCGAAATAATTACACGGACACTGTATTCTTTTAAAAACTGCTTGGCCCATTCTCTTCTAGGCTAATTCTCACATATTAATTTAGCCCATTTCTAATCATCTGTGTATGGCACCCCAAGGTGCGCTTACCAGGAAGATTCTAGCCTATGTCCATCCTGGGTCGGAGCTTCATCCCGGGAGCGGGGCATGGCGTCTCCCTCAGGTGTCTGCTCCCGAGAGGAGAGCTGTCGAGTCTCTGAGCTCACTTCCTCTTCCTCCCAGCGTTCTGTTCTGTTTACTCCTCCCACCTATCCTCTAACCAATAAAATGGGCCAGGGCAGTTCCTTTATTAGCCAATGACCTTCCTCCATCATTTCCCCTTTTTCGGTTTAAACAAAAAAAAAAAAAAGGCTTTAACATAGCAAAATTACATATAACAAAACAGTTATCAAGTAAAAGTTACAATAATCTTTATCATAACTAAGGAAAACTATAACTATAACTAACTATTCTTAACTCCATCAAAGATTCCAGAAAGATACAATACTACCTAAGCAAACAAGAAAAAAGCAACTTTTAAAACTCTAGAAATGACAGAGACATCTCGCTGCCTGGACAGTCACCCAAAGTTCCTCTGTACCACTGGGGCATCCATCTTCAGCCTTCAGGCCCATGGTATCCAGCAGACATTTCCATAAAGCAGGAAAATTCAAAGTCAGTTCAGTCACTATCTGTTGTGTCCTGCAGAATGTCTCGCAGACTCTTTCATGAATCAGGAACCCCGAAAGATCTTCTCACCTTAGGCAAGTTCAGTAGTCCTCTCTCTGTGGGTTCTCTGTGTCCAGTTT